AAAAAGGCCTTAGATATCTCGGGCAAGTTGTTGCTTTGTTGCAGAATTCATTGGCTTTATCTACATCTGAATTAATTCTCTTGAATTAACGTAGCTCAGATTAGGGCGTCTATACTGAAATTACATCCACAGTAACAGCCAGATCAACACTAGTACCAAACAAACTCACTTTTTCACGCTACAGATCTTAAAATATCATTGTTTTCAGTTGTTAACCTCTCTGCCAGAGGTGGCCATCCCTGTGGTAACTGACTGGATGCGATGTATTCCCACCTTGGTGAACAACTTTTGCTCCGGTCCACGGTGTGGTATTTTAGTCTGAGCTGCAGAGAGCTTGGTTTAAGCTCCCAGACTCGGAAATGGAATGGCTGAGGTGCGGACGCATGCTCTTCTGCCACCCCTGCTGTGCAGAAGGGGTGGTCAGAAAATCAAATGCTGCGATTAGTAAAGCGATATACCAGAGTAGGAAGATTCCCCGGGGCTCATAAAGGATCCTGAAGACTTCTGCGGGTGGACTCAAAGAACTTTTTTTTTCCCCTTTCAGTAAGCTGAACTCCTCTATGAATTACATTCTAGTGAGTTATGGCAGAGCCAGTCTATTCCCTTGGGCTCGCCAACCAAACTGTAGGAAGACGTAAGAGGACTAGCAGAATTCGAATGTAGGTGACCTGCAGCCACATTAATTATTGATCGTGTTAGCAGTTGATGAGTTGTGCTGAATTGATCTGTGGCAAGATAATGTGAATTAAAAGCCACTTAAATATTTAATTCTGGGCTTTTCGTATAGGGCAGGAATCTAAATGAGAGGCAACACGAGTCATGACTGGAAGCAACTTTTCAGTAAAGACAAACTATTAGGATGAAAGGTACTATCTAAATGTAAATTGTGTTTTATTAAAGGAGAAATCTCCTGCATGTAAACATTTTAATGGAGGACTAGAAAGCTTTCCAGCTTTCTAAATAATCCTCTAAATAAGTGATGATAGATGGAGATTTTCTTGTTATCAGTTCAATTCCTGCATATTTTACTTAAAGCTTGCTGCATGTGAGGTAGTGCATGAGGCACTGTAGAGAAAAAGAGAGAGAGAATGAAGCCCTGTAGGAAGCGAAGGAGGACTTATTGGCTGAAACTCCATATGTTTGTTACAGCATTGCAACAACGTACAGCTGCAGCACAGCTTGAGTGAAATGAATCCGTAGATGGCTGGTGAGAGGAAGTAAGGGGGCTACTTCTGACATTGGATATATATCAAGCAACTGAATTTTCTGATAATTCTGCACGGGGGCTTGTAATACTAGAGGAGGACTCAGGGAAGTGGCTCCCTGCATGTCAGCAACACCAGTTTAAGTGCCTTTGACAGTGAGATAAGTTCAGTTGGAAGGAAAAAAAAAAGTCACTGTCATTCCATCTGAAGAGGAGTCACTTGGGCTTCTTCAGCATGCTCTGATGGCACTGCATTGACCCACAGGCTTTTTGAAGCATTGCTAATACAGTTTTGAAGGTCAGCACACATTCGTGGTTGCCTTGAGTGCTGTAGTTGCAAATAAATGCTTCCCTGGTTTCTCCCAGCCTTTCCACAGAGAGACATCCTTAATATAAAGCAGGCCTGGTCCTGAAGTAGAAACGTGTTTTATTTCAGCATTTAGTGCATACAAGCTGATGTTATCTTTAGTGAGAAGAGGAGGTTCCTGCCTATTGCCTTTTCTTCCTTTCCTTTTGTTTCACTTCATTCCTTCATGTACCAGAGAGCACTTTGGCAGTCGAGGATATTTGTCTTATTTTTCTCACCCTTCACAAAAGCTCTGCTTAACATGCACATTCTTCCCTTCAGAGCCACTTTCCTCCATGGGCTCTTGGAGCTGGCCAGCTGCCAAACAGTAGGGTGAGCTGCATGAAAAAGCCTTGATCATTGACAGGCTGTCTTACAATTTCTTTCTTGTATTCAAGATGCAGATGGATGTTGTTAGAAAGATTTTTTTCCTTCGAATGTGCACAGCTTGTCCACATGCCTGAGATTAGTGCTCAATACTTATACATTGCTCTTCATCCTCAAAAGAGCTTTATAAGCATGAGTCCTCATAATGCCCTTGTGAGGTAGGTACATGCATTTTCTAATATACTATGTAATAAGGAGGGACATATGTTCATGACTTGTTCAAAGATGTATCACACAGTAAACATTATAAAATAAGGAAATCCTTACACTTTTCTAATATTCTTCTACTATGTTTTTCTGTCTCAAAGTGGTAAGATTTCACCATGGCAGAATATTTTTCCACATGAAAGATGTGATTAGTGGCATCAAAAATGAAAATGTACCTCAGGTTGTAGTAATACTAGATAAATACGCAGCATTTCGAAAATTTATGAGGCCGAACTTCCTACTGCACTAAGTTTCAATTAATATCACAGAATGAGAGCCTAAGCAAATCATCAAAGAGATTCAGGTTTGATAGAAGATGCAAAGTGCTTGCCTCAAACCATACTTCAGAAACAGGGGGATAAGATTTTAGGAGGAGTGATGAAAATGCCTGTCTCCTCGGTTGAAAGGACAGAGCAGGAATCTATACATTTTCCCTCTCCTGCTTTAACTATGTGGTTCTAATTAAAACAGTGACAGTAACAGCAAAAATCCCAGTATGAACTGGGTTCTACTGAAAGTTCTTGTAATATTGTATCTCATTCTTAGTGAGGGGGCTGAAATAAGCTGTAGCTGTGAAAGGCATCTTTATAATTACACGTTTTTCTTGAAATTTTACTGGCATAACTATGTTGGCATGCTTTACCTTGGCACAGACGAGCCAATAAAAGTTTCAAGTGTCGACCAGCATACATAATCTGACTGGGGCCAAGATTACTCTTGTGAGATATGGTTTCTAAACTAGGTCAGTAAGCCCTTGACAGGCATCTAATAATCAGCATTAAGGGTCTTTGCATCCTCAGTGAGCCTCTAGATGTGTATAGGTAGCTGGAGGAAATTGGTTTAGAAACCAGTAGTCACCTTAGCCCAAAAAGGAATCGTTAATAAGGCTGTGAGATGGTGAGGCACTTGTCTTGGCTAAAGCAGCAGGGGCTGACTGACAGAATACAGGAACAAGGACTAGCTTTATAGACATACACCTACTTTATGTTTTCTAGGTAATTAGGCTGAGAATAGGCTATCTATCATTAAGATTTTTTTTGTTGCACAAGTAAGCACATAAATATGTACAGTAAAAAAAAAGAGTCAGGAAAGAGCTGCACCTCAGGCAAGATTTTGAGAATTAGTTTCTGAATTCTCTGGTGTGGTGGAGAGGCCCATCTTTTCACGCTGCATGCAGTAGTTTGTAGGAGTAGAGTGGGAAAGGGGAATAAACCAGTCATGCTTGTTTTAACCCAGAAAGGGATCCTAACTTGTTCTGCAGAAGAATTCTATGCATATTGATATCTTATCCCCTTCTTGCTACTCCGGGAAAGGTATCTGGCCCCAGGAATTGCTCTGGAGAAAAAAGAAATGCAAGTTCTTTTCTGGTTTTCTGACCACTATGCGATGTTTCAAATGAATTTGTGGAAATGATAGGCCGAGAAACTCATGAAAATTATTGTATAGGAAATTACAGCTGGAACAAGTTATCACATTTTTATGGATTCCACATCCAAGGCCTTTAATGTCAGCTAGCCTATTTCACTTTATAATCGTATAAGTAAGTACATCTAGGACAATTAAGCATATTTTATTGTTTAGGCCTTTTAAAGAGTTGCAAATGCCTGTTAGAGACAGAAGATACTGTATAATTTAAACATAAATATTTTGGGGACAAAGATGTTCTGCTAGGGCTATAGAGTCCCTGCGCGATTTTGCTGATAAAATCTATGTATGCTCATTGCAAAACCATCGGTGTTTCAGACAGTTACTGTCTTAAAGCTCTATTATGCCTGGGATGTATTTAGCACTTCTATCACTCTTTAGAACATGTGAGAAGAAGGAGTTGCAAGCACTGTGGAATGGGTTCAGGGAACTATTGGACCCCTCTTTCTGAAATGTCATCGTATCTCCCTCTGCAAATCCACTTCCTTATTCCCCACAAGACTGTGCTTGGAAGTGCCAGGTTTAAAGCTCCCACAAAATCAAGTGCAGCTTGACTCGTGCATACACAGATCTTTTAAGATCTAACCACAGCAAGAAAATACTTCCCCTAGATTCAGTGTTGCTCTGTAAATTCAAATCAACTAAAGATCTGTATCATTACCGCTATTCCCCCAAATTCATTGTTATTGCCTGAAAGGCTTCTCTTTGCACTTTTGGCATGTTAAAGATGTGCTGATGAGCATTTTAATCAATTGCTTTACATTACCTAGGAGTATCAACCTGCAGTCTCGCTCAGAGATTTACATATATGTGCAGTAGGAGCACTACTAAAATTATATTAGAGACGGGTACAGACTAAGAATTAGAGATTCCTCAAATAAAACTTCAGAATATCTATTAAAATATAACAAAATATCCATGCAAATACTTAAGTTCTGGAGCTTGATATTATTTTTGAAACACAGGGGACCAAGATAAACCTATTAAAGATGACATTTTCTCTTGTACTTCAGCTTCTTTCTTCCACGGAAAGAAGAATCTAACTTCATACCTGAATGCAATAGTAATGCAAAGGCTTGAGGCAAAATCCTAAGCTATTCACATCAATGGAATGAAGTTATACAGCTAACTTTAACCTGAGAGACTTACCATTTCAAAAGCTTGTGCACTGCTAGCAAGACACGAAGGTTAGTTACCATTGGATGAGCACGGGCAAGAGCATTTCGTTGCTCACTACACACACCTTCCCTGGTGCGCTGTGAAGCATAAGTTAGAGGGGTCTCTCTTATTGGGACTTTAAAACAGTGTATCATTTTTCAGTTAGGGACCAAAAGGAGCATATCCATATTCTGCTGTAACACTGAAAATTCCCAGCAACTACATTAGGGATCAGAGCCAAGGAGCAGACCCTGAGCTGTTGTAAGTTGGCAGAATTTTGTTGACCTTACTGAAATACATTCATTTTAAGCAGATGAGGGCCTGACCTATAATATGAAGATACTCGGAAGCAGGAGAAATGATCCATCTTAGCTCTTCTGCTGCTTTCATCACTTCAACGCTAACTGCACACCAAAAACAGTAAGCGGATTCCAACCTGCACCCTTCAGTTTATTTGAAGGAGCCGTCTTTTGAAGTATTCCAAGACTTCCTTATCCCAAGGACTACATATATTTAGCTGCCTCCATTTCAGCTAGCTCAAGCTGAAGGAGAGGCAAAAATTAAATATGGATCTCACGTTTACATCGTGGCAGTGTACAGTGCTGTGGTCATGTCAGTCTCCTTCCAAGTCGTTTTCAGATGTCAGCAGACTTTTAAGGCATTCACAGTATGAAAAAAAAGGAAAATTCCTAGCAAAGAACTTCCCTGTGACACAATCTTTAAGAGTTCAAGTGTCTTTTAAAATGTGTATCTCCTTCCGAAGAGTCAGGCCGTTTCCCACAGAACGGTAATCCCTAATACCACTCTCTGTACAATTGTTTCCTGTGTTTCACTTTCTCCTTCTTACTTTGAAAAACCATTTACAAGATTTACTTGGTTAGCTAGAGACCTCTGACGACTTCCCCGTGCTAGCCGCTCTGCTGAGCGCGGCAACAACGAGGGAGACAAGTTTTCCAAGTTTTCGTACATGTGTTCTGGAAATAAGAAGTGAACCAGACAGTATGTTCCTTTGTTTTTTCCAGCGGTGGTACAGTAAGGTAATGGTGGATATTTTAGGGCACAAACCAGTTGTTACAGAAGTAGGGAAGATGCTTTTTATCACAGCTTGCTGCCAACTTTTTAAAGCATGTTATAAACATCAGTTTATTTAAACATCAGTTAAATTAAACAGATAGTGAAATTAACACAAGAAACCGAAGGAAAGTGATCCTTTAGTTTACAGCCTTAAGGACAGCTGTCTAAAGGACAGATCCAGGTATCAGCAATAATACACTCTGTAAACTTTTATTCCAGAGTTAGTAATGGCTCACCTGCGCAGTGCTGCTTATTTTTGCCTGTTCCTTCATGTCATTATACTTTCACATTAAAATAAGTTGGAGCAAGAAATCTTTCATTAATGTTTGAATTTATCATTGTGTATTTCCAGCGTAGAAGTAGCTGGCAGTCCAACTGGAAATAACAATCCCATTGTATTAACTTCCCTACAAAAAGAAAGCAATAGAAAGTCTTAATTTTCACTGCTGACATTACTGATGGTTATAAATTACATGGAAAACAAACTTGGCCTAATACAACCTTTTGAACCCTAAATTACTTCTTTTTATGATCTGTCTGTTATGAATATATTTGGGCTACGGATGCAGTGAGAACCTCTACACACGCACGCTTAGGTGTATCAACATTAATTTGTCAGGAGTAATCAGGACAATTCCATGTTAAGCTTAGATTGCCTTGATAGCTTACCTCAGCTTTTATCTATCTGGAATATGCTCTCCTGGGATAAAATAAAATTACATTTGTTTTATTCCAGGTACCAGATAGTTTCTGCCTAGAAAAATAAATGGAACATGAATTGATGGGTTACAGTATCACTGATTTGTAAGTTTAAAAACAAAACCAAAAACTTTTCTAGCACTTACTGAACTCCAAGTTGATTCTATCCATTTAAATTGGTACCTAGTGCTTGTCATATTATGTTATAGGTGCGAATATACTTTGTCAGGTTATGTATGCATGGCATAAAGACATAAACTTAAGTTCACACCCACACATCCCCATATGCTTTGAACAGATCTAAGCGGTAACTAAAAGATGAAGAAGATTGAACCACATAAACATTCTACACAATGATTATTAATTGCAAAGTAATAGAATAAATTATGAAGGTTATTAGGAAGCAATTGAAGTGTAAATGCTTTTCTAACAATTGCTGGTAGTATGGTATTAAAATCAATTTGTGATGCAATATACTGTGTTAAAGTAAGCAGTGAAGAGCATTGATGAGATCTATAGAAAATGATGATGAGAGTGAAGAGCTGAAAGCTGACGGCTGCGCAGCATTCAAGGATTCTTTCCAGGAAATAGTTCTAGCACAAGCTAATTTAGCAGTGCAGTAAACAGTGTTTTGTGGCTGACCGAGAAAGGCAATATCTAGAAAAATTAATCAATAATTCATTACAGAAAAATGTAACCAGCTGTAAACTGAATTCATAGGAGAATGCTCCACAGCAATGCAAAAATTATGAATATATTTATATTTTTTGAAACAGCTAGTATAGACTGAAGTCCAAACACATATTTTATATAATATGTTATATATATATATTTTCAAGGTTTCTGATTATATGGAGTGGAAATTAGGCAATCAATATAGAATCCTCATACTGAAAATAGCGTAAAGCACATCTTAATAGCACATCTAATACCAAATTATTCTCATATTTTCTTCCTATAGTTTTCATTTTCCTTGAAGATGTTTACATGTTTTATTTAACTTTCTGCATGATCTATCAGGTAACTTTATCAAGTCCTAGTGTTTTACGAAAAGCAGTATCATTGGATGTTAATGATTATTTGACTATCTACCTTTAATACTTATGAGTTAATTTTCTTTAAAGACTTGGCCAGCTTTGAATAAATAGTAGAATTGTCATAATTGGCTTCCATACAATTTCCCTTTTTCATTTTTCGGCACAATTATGTAATGTTTGGGTTGTAGAAATTTCAAAAGATTATTTTAAACAAATCCATTACAGTTTTTTTAGAAAGAGTAAGTTGTATATTTTCTTTTAGAAAATGTATTGGTTTAAAAACAAAACACCAAAATGTAAATTCGGACTCTAATTTTTCCAACTAGGAAAACTTTAAAGATAGTGAATAAGAATTAAATATTTACTCTCATTTTTGATACTATTTAGTTAAATATAATATTTTAGATATATTTGACACTGAATACATCGTTCATAAAACTGATTTATATAAATGCAACAGTCTAAATTGCTCTTATATATCCCACCTGGATTAGATTATGGTTGATTATTTGGAAAGGAAGAGACTGCATTTTTTTCCTGTGAATCCTTCAAAAAGTGTCATCCATCTAAAAGGAATCTGCTTTTAGTCTGTCTGATGCTTTTGTCACGGTGTAGCAGGTACAATTCAAGAAATGAAACAAAATGGCCGGTCTTTTCTGGAGTTAGTATTAACAATGAGGCACCCATGTGCTGGTCTATGTTTGATGTTCCTTCACTGAAATAACCTTTTTTGCTATGCATTCCAATAATGACAGAGACGCTATTTAACTATTTTATGTCTGTGGTTAATCTTCTATTTTGAAGAACTCGGAACACTGTTAGTATAATTAGTAATAGCACCTTATAGCGCTTTCCTTGCCTCTCAGAATACTCTACAAAAGAGGTCAAGTTGGTATTATCGGGCCTCTTTTCCCAGGCGGAGAACCTGGAGCCCACGGAGTTGAAGTGAGCTGCTGAACATTGCTGTCCCATTGAGGGCACCGGGATGAAAGACCTAGCTCTCCTGGGGCTTGGTGGAAAGCCACTGCCACAACCATCTCCTGGTAGCACTTCCACTTACAAGAGGTAATGGGCACACCTGTGTTACAGGCACAAGTGTGAATGAAGACTGGGTGGAGACATGTGAGCTTATTTCAGAAATACAGGTGTGGTCTTTAAGAGTTGACGCTAATTTGGTCCACGTTTGTATAGCATGCAGGATAATGGGCCACGATCCATTATCAGGTTTCCTAGGTGCTACTGCAATACAAATTTTCAGCCAGTCTTCCTTTTGTCTGTGTAATTTTATCAGTGTGGCTGAAGGCAATGCAGGATGGGCTGTAAATTCCTCTCAAAGAATCAAGTAAATACGTGGACAGCTAGCTCATGCTGGTCCCTGGTCTGTTACTGCTAGTATTTCAATTAATTAAAGCCAGCATAGATAGATTTGTGCCTATAGCAGAGACTGAAGGATAAATACTCCCAAAGGTGGCTATGCAAACAATTTAAAATTCTGAATAAATGCACGAAATACATCATAGTAATCACAAATTCTTCCTTGCATGTGTGTGTGTTTGGTTTTTTAGCAAAAGATAACTTTTGCTTTTTGCCCAAGGCTAGATTCTCCTTTACGATGTTTTGAATTTTATACTGCCTTCCAAATACAAAAGGACCTTAAACCAATGGTATACATTCAAGAATTATTTTAACACAGACTGTGTTAGCTCACTGATACCTTTCTACCACACACTTCAGGAAATGCTTCCAGCATACAAAGTAGCGGTTATACTGTGCTCGTACACTAGTCATCTCTAGTCGGCAAATAGCTACGTGGCTAGAGGACCCTGAGACTACTGTAAACGATGCTGCAGAGGAGGCTAGTTTAGAGCATCACCCAAGATTTTCATGCTTCAGAACCTTTTTTTAAACCTCCCCTTTCAGATGCACGCTACTGACTGCCTTTTAGCACCACAATTTCAAAACAAAATAGAACCAAGGGATATTACCAGCCACAGTCTCAGTGTAGAACTAGTTGAGTTAGAAAACTGTCTGCTCCTGATGTTGTAAAGGACAGGAAAAATCCCAAAAGATTAGAAGCAGCGCTTTTGGAAATGTTGCCATCCAAAAAACTGAGCAGAGAGGCTAATCCAGCTCAAAGGGGATAGACTCCCCTTGGTAGTGGCCTTACTTGTACCTGAAATCATTCATGTTTGACTTAAAATCCAATAAAATTGGATGCTGCCCGGCCCACTGGGAATGGCTACTGTTCTGAAGGTCAGCTAAGGAGCGGTGCGTCAGATGGATACCTCAGCTCCCCTTTTACTTTGCATCTACACAAAGGGTTATGAAAGCAACTTTTCATGATTGCTGAGAAGGTGCCAGGAGAGAGCTGGGAGGAAGACAGGGAGCTCTGAGTCCTGGAGCTCAGCCACATGAATCTGCTTCAGCTGCCGTGCAGTCTTTAGAAGATGTATGAAAATGAGAATGTCTCCAAAGACAGGATAAAAGGCCAGCTCTAGCTTTATATCCATACTTACTGTATAAAATTTACGAAATCCCCAAAGATGCTATATTCCTCCCTCCCCTGCCATCAGAGCAGGCTGACCTTCCCTGATCATACAAAGAGTTTAACTGTTGATGACTGTTTATGACCGCTGTTATAAATTAAAGTTCTGTGGCTAAGTCAAGTGCAAGTGTGAATATCTTTTAAAAAATTAGGGTTGGCAATAAATAAAGAATGACTTGCTAGAACTGTTTAACTCATTTCCTTGACGTTTTAGTAACCATTTGACCCTGGCCCTTTCAATTTATCCTTTAAAAGAAACATAGATATTCAGGAAGAAACAAACTCTTGTGTTTCTAAGAGCTATAAAACACTTCAAAATGGTGCTTAATTACAGCTATGCAAAAGGATATTATGTTGAGTTGGCATATTTTGAGATGGATCTTTTTCATACTGCTGAATGTAGCAATACAGTAGGCACTGTACATGGTTAACTCATGATTTTCTAATGCAATAGGGCGTAGGAAATCCATATAACATGATAATATGACCAGTTCAACAAAAAAAATGTAAATGAGGCAGTTTAATGTACATTAAGAAGTGATCATAAGGCAATTGCAAAATAAATGGCAGATCTTGATATCTGACTGTATTCTAAAACATATTGCTCTCCTGTTAAAGCTAGAAAATAGAGGAGATAGATTGAGACTAAGAGAATGTGAAAGTTGAAACATTTTGACACTGTATGTTATTGAATATTTGCACGAAAATGGTTTTCCCCAATGATGATCAGATGTTTAATGGTTATTGTTGTTACTTAATATCTTGACAGCTGTTTGCTGTTGTTTTCTGTTCAGATATAAGAACTATTCTGATATTAGCAAGAAAAAAATCAACATAAAAGATAAGACTTGTATCTACCATGAAGAATATATATAAACAAATCAAAAGCATTTGCCTAATCCAGATATGTTGCTAATAGACACTAAATAATCTATAAGGTACAAAGTATTATTGTTAAATATTATTAAGAAATTTTTGAATATATAATATAATTTTCTAGCTCTCACTCATTCCCATCTCTAGTAATTTGTTACTTTGACATATCTCTATAACTATTAAGATTTGCTGTACTGATCAAATGATCAGAGCCAAAAAATCCCAACTGCTGAAATTAAATATCACTGTGAGTCACAGACGCTGTGTTAACAGATAACACAACAAAAAATAATCAGAGTAAAAGACTTCACTTGATGCTGTTAAAGCAAATAGGTCTGAAATTAAAGATAATTGCATATTAAAATAGAGTGGGTAGCTCTGTTTTGATTTAGAGATATGAACATGTCAAGCAAGCTACTCACTATGTAAAAGGAGCGAATTAGTGCCCTGAAGTGATTCAAGAAAAGAGCCCAGGAGAGCATTCCTCGCATTCCTGTGGCACCCAGAGTATACATATGCCCCACAAAAAAAGAAAATCTTAACACTCTGAGTTGGTAAGTTGATCTTAAGAAAATCTGGCATTTTCATATAGCTGCAGGCTTGATTAATGTGAAGAAATGATACTCTCTGATGATGAATGTGAGATGTATTTAAAACTGTTATTTTGGGGGGAAAGGACGTTACGTTAGTTAACAATCTGTTAGTTTAAAAAAAAAAAAGGGACTACTAATAAGCACTGACAAGCAAGGTATAATAGGTGGTTTTTGGAGCTTCCTCTAGTCATTTTGCCTGTTTTGTCCAGAATTCTCAGTATTAGCTGCAAAAATACTTTACTTACGCATATGAGATTAGCTCGGAGTTATCTTTATAAATGAACTATATGTGGAAATTCAGTAGGTTTAGTAGATTACAATCTGAAGGCACAGCCTGTTTGATAGTCATCTGTACCTAGAAGTGTAAGACAAAGATTATGTCTTTTGAGACCAGAAGTATTTTATGCAAAAAAAAAAAAGAAATTTTCATAAATAAGATATTGTAATGTTTATATTTTATGTGTAAACCTATGCTAGTGATTGAAAATAACTCGAACAGATTTCTTAACGTTAACATTATTTCCGTTATAGGATACAGATCAGCAAAGGGTACACACTGTTTACAAGAGCAAATACCCTAATAGTTTTACGTGACCGTTAATGACATGTAATAGTTTCGTGTCTAGATATTGGTAAAGCTGCTGTGCTGCGTTCAGTGTCACGGTAAACAAATAAAACCAGCCACGTTACAAGACCTCTACGCTTTAAAAATTATGTTCCTATGAGAAGAAAAACCCACTCGATATCTCCCATAAAGGTGTTAAATTAAACATTTCACACCGTTTCCTTCCTCGGTTCTTATGCAACAATGACAGCGAGGACAACTGGCTGATATGGATTAGTTTTGGGAAGAATGACAACAGGTGCCCTCGGCGAAGGGTCACTGCATCCCACAGACTGAGGCTTCCCGGGCTTCTTTTCCCATGTCCAGCTCTTGCAGCTCCCTCACCGACAGTATTGAGCCGGCACCTCGCTGGCGCCTGTCGCCAGCGGAAAGGAAAATTACAAACATTCAGTCAAGTTCTCTTTAGGATCGGCATAGCTCCGACCAACACCCAAAGCACCGCTGACTCCCAAGGGCGATCAGGTGCCCGGCAGGCGGGCAAAAGGGCTTCTCTGGGGGCTGCATCCAGCCAGGCAGCCCTGACAACGGGCTGGCGGGAGCCTGTCTGGGCTGAAACGCGGAAAACCACCCAGAAGCTCTCGGAGCATGCCTGAAAAAGCAGCCAGAAAACAGGCTGGGGCGGGGGGGAGGCAAAAAGCTCCTGGGATCACTGTGTCGGTACTCTTCCTAAGGCAAATGCACGGAAAAATGCTGGGTAGCAGAGTGCTAGCTGAGAGAAAAATTAAAAAACAAACAAAAACAAAAAAGACTGGGTGCCCTGAGTGAAGGAAGGCTGCCTCGTCTGCGGAGGAGGGATTTTATAGGCGTACCTAAACAGGATCGCATCAACGGTGCAAACAGCAACTACTATCCTCAGTTTCTTGTCTAAAAGGAAGGAGCAGATACGGCGAATCAAAGGGAGGCAGCAGGAGCCAAGCCGGGGCGGCAGGTACACCCTCCGCCTCCGCCTCGCCCAGCCGAGCAGGCGCGCGTCAAACACCATCCAGGTGCTACCCCCCCCCCCCTGCTTACGGGGGACG